CTCTCTTAGGCTCACTGGTTTTAGTACGAGAAACATGTAGTTCTGATTTGTCCGTTGCGTTCAATGATTTTGCGCAACGTGGGTTGAGGTGTGTAGAGAGAAAGATAGGTTTCATCTATTGTAGGGTATTTCGAGCACGTTGTGAATTTTAATGCATTATTATTTGTGAAGACCTTAGATGATGTCCAGTGAAATAAATAGATGTGAATTTGATAATTATAGTTCCAGTTGCTTTGCTTCAGATTAGGGTTTGTGGTTAGTGTGCGTAGTTTGTTTATTTGTTACCTGGCTTATTAGACTTTACACAGAAGATCTTGTGTCTGGACTAGAAAATCCCTGTTTCTAGTCCCCACCTAAACGAACTATTTTACTTTATTTTTATCTTAGTACTTAGGGCTTCTCCACCCTAGTACACTACTATAGCTGATATGCCAGTTTGACTTTTAAACAGGTTGCCCCTGGAGAGCAGACGTTTCTCTTCGAACAAATCCTCAACGCCCTGGAATACCACAACTATTGCCAGTTTGAAGTGCAGATGGAAGTGGCTCACAATAGCATCCACTACCTGGTCGGAGGCAGAAACAAGTACTCCATGTCCCATCTGGAGTACAGTTCATATGATCCGCTTTTCTTCCTTCATCACTCCAACGTGGACAGAATTTATTCCGTGTACCAGGCTCTGCAGCAAGGTCGGGGCCATACACCAGGTAATCTTCCTCTTCTCCCTGTACACGTAGATCAAGAAGAAGATGGAACACAACATCTAAATGGAACTACAAAAGCACGATATATCATCGGTCGAACCTCAAAAAGGCAAGAAAAAAAAAAGAAATAAGTGAAGGAGAATGATAGCTTTAAATACACGACAAGACGCTGCATAATAAATAACAACAATGTATGACGAAATACTGTTTAGACTTTTGAGTTGAAACTCTTTAGAACAAAAAATAAATACCGACATTCTAAAATTTCTGAACATCATTGAAGAAGATTGGCTGGTAAAAAGCATCTCGTCTGGGAAATTAAAATGTTGTGGCTATGTCAAGGCTATGTACAAGACATGATACAGCAAGTCCAAGCAGGAAACATCAAAAACTTCGATATGATTGGACAAAACAAGTATTCAGCTATATTTATTGTTCGCACACACACAAACACACACACACACACATACACACAGGCACGCACGCACACGAACACACGCGCGTGCACACAAACACACACACACACACACACACACAGGCACGCACGCACACGAACACACGCGCGTGCACACACACACACACACACCCAAACACACACAGGCACGCACGAACGCACACAAACACGCGCGCGCACACACACACACATATATACACACAGAGGCACACACGCACACGAACACGCGCACACACACCCACACACGCACACACGCACACACACACCCACACCCACACACCCACACCACACACACACCCACACACACACCCACACACACCCACACACGCACACACACACCCACACCCACACACACACACACCCACACACACACACACACCCACACACCCACACACACACACCCACACACACACACCCACACAACCGCAACACTACTGCAATTGTAAAGGACAGCAATCTTAAAACTTGTAATTTTTTTTATGAGTTAATTTTTCAGTCTTGATGTGAATAAAAAATAACGATTTAAACGATGTAATTTTGATAATTACATGTGGTTTTTAACTTGTAGTCTATACGGATGGAAGTCGCCGTGGCGGAGCAGCTAGACGTCCTCGCGGATCGGAAGGGCGTCGGTTCGCTCCCTGGCGGAGGCGGCTTTTTTGTGTGTGTGACTTACCTTGACTTCCAGATGGACCCACCTTGAGTGCAGTCCCAAAAAGTAAAGGCGGCCGGCGTGATGGTGACCACATCATTCACCTTGTGTCGATTGGTCTATAAAATATAGGTCTAGCCCTATACGCCCAAAGGCGTGGCAAAGGCTGGTTTTCTTTACTTATTTCTTTTCGAATGGAACCTCGGCTTCAGTAGTGTGTTTGGCCTCTTCTGACCTCTAGTGGAGATCATCATCTCTTTGGCATCGATCTGAATAGCTGTTAGATGTGTTGTTGTTTGCTGGCTTCTCACTCTTCTCAGAGTGCAGGACACAAATATTGGAGACTAGCTGCAGACATGGCTCGCTGACCTTCTCGTCAGTGTTCTTCGTCTTTCATATCTTATATATTACAGCATTGACTGTGTGGTTATATTTGTGTCCAGGCCCTGGGTGCACCGGAGAATGTGAGAACTGTGACGTTCAGCAGTTCCAAACACCACTGGAGCCGTTCAGCAGAGAATCGAACCCGTTCCCTATCACACGGGAGAATTCCAGACCAAGACAAGCTCATGATTCTCAAAAGCTTGGCTACAAGTAAGTCTCTACCATGTATTGTTTCATTTATGTGTTTTTTCCCTGAATTCCGTTTTTGTCCACTCATTGCAAACTACAATTGAGTAACTTGGGTTCTTTTTGTCATTCGTAATTGATGATACTTTAGAAAGTAAAAAACGAAAAAAATTTCGTTCACTCGTTTCCTATGTCCACTTCGATTCGTCTCCCCCTCCCCTCCCCCACCACCTCCCCATAACCCCACTTGTTCCCCTTTCATTTCACTACCTTGTTGCTCATTCCTACCAATATTACTCCCTTTCTTTCCTATAAATTTTCTCCCTTCTTATCTTAAGGATTTCTTTTTTTATCTCCTCGCCCCCTCACCCGCCCACTCCACACCCCCCCCCCCCCCCTTTTAACCTTAGAACCTACTTTTCGTTTCATTTACGTCAAAATCAGCTAATGTCTTTAAGCTTTTGTCGTTCGTTCATTTTTTTTATTCACTGCCATACTGTGCCATTGTCTGTCACATAGTCTATTCCTCCATTCCGTTCTGTCCTGTATAATCACTTTCATACATGAATGGATTCCAGCCCAGCTCTCGTCGTTTGCATGAGAGTTTCCCTTGGTCGTCCTTCAGTGTGTTCTCCTTCATTTCATATCACGGCACTGCTGCTAATCTTGCCCTTCTATTCTCTGTTCCTTTCTAGTTTCCCATCTTATCCCTCCTGTACTTGTATCCATATCATCATCATTATCATCACCATCCTCATCGTCGTTATTGTCTCATAACCGTAAAGGCAAGGAGTGATAGTTCGCTATTCTATAACCTGACTAACGGATGACGTCTGTTTTCCCATTATGCACATTAATTCCATGTAATCAGTCCATATATATATATATATATATATATATATATATATATATATATATATATATATATATATATATATATATATACATGTTTTTTCGACTTCTCCTGTCTCACTTGAATATCAGGACTGGGATTCGGGTTAAAAGAGGTCGAACGAACGAAGGTTTACTGGTAATGATGAATATGATAATGAGCTTTCTAGTTATAATGTTGCTCTATTAAATTCATTTCTTGATTTTCTTGTGCAGGTTTGAGAATCTCTCCTTGGGAGGCTACGACTTGAGCGGCCTGGCGAGACTTCTACAGGAGAAAATATCCCATGATCGAGCCTTTGCTGCCTTCCGTCTGTACGGGATCAAGACTTCGGTGAATGTCAGAGTCAAAGTAAGTTCCTGGAATTGCATAATAGTCAACTACGGTGTGTCCCATAAATGGGCATACAAATGAAAAATAAACAAATCAACAACGAAATTAATAGCATAACCCCAGCTATTCTTAAGCGTGTTGTTCGGGCAGTGAAAGACAAACAATGAACTGTATTCAAAACATTTATATTTCTGCCATTATCTACATTTACGGTAAAGCCTGTAGTTAGAACTTTCCTGGGAAAATCGCAAAAAGATATCAAACCAAACGAAAAGGAGACCAGCGAAGTTCACACTATAACAAACGTAAAAGAAATGTGAACGTTGCAGCAAGAAAGCCTTCATCAACAAATTTCATAAATCAACAAAAAAACATTTACAGACATAATTTACAAAGTCAGTTAGCTAACGTATTTCCGATAGCAGTCTAATTGCTGTCCGGCCAGTGAAATGAAAGACAGGTGATGTCGCCAAGAATGAATAGTCCAAGGATGCCATTGGCCGTGACTCCAAAAATAAACAATACCAACCCATGACGAGAGTTAGGCAAGCACAAGACATCTTTCCTGGTTGCAAAAATCAGTTTAATATCGTAGTGACCCAGTGGACCAGGTAATCAGATATTAGGCTCATAAGAACAGATTCTGAACTTTGATCTTAGACAAAGGGCCAAGAAGCGATAACTGGGAATAAACAGGCGTAGGAATTAGAGAGTAGCGGTAACTTAAAGGCTAGATCCTTTTAGGCTATGAGTGTCATAAGTTCGAGTCAGCAACGAGACGGATTTATATGCTGATCTTAAACCAACCTAAAATTAAAACCAGGAAATGTTTTGTAAAGTAAAGTCGACAAGCATAATGCTGCCCATATCACTAAAGGAGTACTAGTGAGATGTGGTTCTAACACTTTGCGCCTAAAATAGTTGGAAAACAATTTCTTTACTTTAAGTCATTATATATATATATATAATACATACATATTGCGTCATAATGATCCTTTACCTTAAAAAGAATTGTTGCACACTCTGTATATAATATTCTGTAACTATGTGTGTTATGTTCAACCCTACCAGAACGGTACAACGAGAGACCAACACTTGGTGACACAAAGTGCCACCATTCGGAGGAGAATCACCTGGGCACTAGTCCCAGAAACCCCGTTCAACTTTTAGGTTAAATTAGAGCAGCGCAGCTGGGAGTGGGGCTTTAAAATTACGAAAAACTACGTCCGACACTTAGACGGGAATCGTAAATCTTCTTTAACTGTGCCTCTTTTTGACATGAAGGTCTGTACGCGCGTATCCGGTTCCCGCAAACAGGAGATTTGCAAGTCAGCCGGCGACTTCTTCATCCTGGGTGGACCCCTAGAGATGCCCTGGGTCTTTGCCAAACCTTTTTACTTCGACATCACCAAAACTGTCCTCAACCTTGGCCTAAACCTGACAGAAAGTTATCAGGTCAAAACTGACCTGTATAGCGTCAATGGAACCAGACTGCCAGGCAACAGTCTGCCAGCGCCGCAGGTCCATTTCCGGCCCGCTAAAGGGAAACAGGATCGTAAGTTGATAAACCTCTTTCAGTAAATATTTATATGGCATTTATTTGCATTTTATTGTTCTTTATCTGCGTGACGTTCCTTCGTCTAACTCTTGTCCTTCGTCTTGTTCTTTTCCTTTGTCTTGTTCCGTTTTCGCTTTCGTTATTGTCATTGATGCTGTTGTTCTTGTTTCTGTTATTGTCTTTGTTCTTTTTCTTCCTCATAATCATCACACCAGTATTATTATTACTCTGCTTCTCCTCCTTATCGCCATCTTTTTCATTCTCTTCCTTTTCTCTCTTCTCACCTTGCAAAAATATAATTATCTTAGAAATGCACTATTTATAATTTCTTCGAAATATACGATGTATTACTGCTCATCACTTTGTAGATTTTTGCCACGTTTCATAGGCTGCATATCTTCTGATTGTGTGAGTGGATTCTTGAGTCATTACTAAAGTAACAACAGTAGTGTTTGTACTTTCAGCTCCACTCCCTCATCGTGACAACGAAAAAGTGATACCCACTGGTATCTCAGTCCGCAAGGACGCTGACCGTCTGACCAGAGAGGAGATCTATGAACTCAGAGAAGCACTACAGAAATTTCAGGTATATCTTAAGGTTGTTTCAAGTTTAAAAAAAAACAAACGCTATTACACTTTTTCTAGCCTGGTGGTGAAGAGATGCAGGGCTATCCAGGTCTCGGACCTTCTTATTCTGAATCTGTTCTATTGCTTTTTATACTGAGCGGTGAACGAACGTATGGTAAAAGAACGAACTAAGAAAGAACTTTTTTTTTTTTTCCTAGGGTTAAGAATTCAGCGGCGAATATACGGAAAATCGTAAATATTACTTGAAGAGTTTTCAGCATCAGAAATGACGATATCGGGAAAGAAGTTAGCACGGAACCAGTTTTAGACTACACCAGAAAGTTAAAGGATCAAGAGATGTAGACGTATGCCACGACTACCACCGGGCACTGCATCAGTGAGATCCCTATCACTTAGACATAATGAAAGCTGGGCCAGATATTAATCAGTCAGTCAGTAACATGCCCCTTGCAGGACCTTGATCCTATAACAACCCTACGGAAAACGTGTCGACCACAAACACGATGTGCCGTGTCCCATACACCCATCTGGAGATCATCCACCACATCCAGCACCCATCCTCTCTTTGGTCTTCCTCTTCCTCTTTTCCCAGGCATATACCCCTCCATTACAGTTCTCTCTAAACTTTCATGATGTTTTAAGCAACCAAAGTATTTCACTTTTCTGTGTGTGTGTTTTTTTTCATCTTTAATAGCCAGCCTTCTTCAATATTCAGCTCTTGATTTATGGATGCATTTGTTCTTTTCTTTTAGAACCCGTCTACAACAGATAACGACGACGCAAGTGAAGGATGCATGGAATATCCGCGACTGTAAACACCATTATCTAATCAGCACATACCAAGGCTCTCACCTAATGCCTCTTTAAACCTGACACTGAAAGGCACTCATTACTAGTAAATGCCCATTAAATTTTTTTTCAGGGTAACCCCAAATTTTGGGTTTTAGAATCAGGGCCGGGAATTTTTCAAAAACCCTTAGCTATCTAAGGTTTTA